AAAATAGGAAACTAACTTTTCCTAGAAAACTAATTTCTATATCAGTGGGATTCTCCAATTAATATCCCATGATTCTAGGAAACTAACTTATGTATGTTTCCTAAACTGATGGACCTAAAATTATGGAGAATCAATCAGAGAGTCAATCTTCTACTTTCCAACAGGGTACACAGCCTTAAAAAAAAAAAATCCTAACACAGGGTACCAAGGAGAACCCCTTTTTTCTTCAGAAAACACCTCTTTTCTGTAAAACACAGGTGCTGTAACGGCACTAACAGGTCATCCTTTGACCTACATATCAACAGGATGGCAATTACAGCAAGTACAGATCACTTTCTGACCTTCAGTTCACCATAGAAGCTGCTGTTGCAGCACACAAAATCTGTTACAGCAAGTACAGGTCACTTTCTGACCTCCAGTTCACCATAAAAGCTGCTGTTGCAGCCCACAAATGGTTCACATGACCTACGGTTTTACAGGGATCAGCCAACCCCACAAAAAAGGAAAGACAAGGGACTGCTCACCTCACATTAACAGTCTGAACCTATTACAGGTTCTGTTCTGTCACACGACCAGAAAAAAAAAAAAAAAGGAGAGGGGAGAGAGGGTATTTAGTCCGATCTGGATCTGGATCTGGATCTGGATCTGGATCTGGATCTGGATCTGGATCTGGATCTGGATCTTCAATGAATCTGGATCTGGATCTGGCGAATGGAGAAGAAAGGGAAGCTGTGCTCGATCTCTTCTTTCGGATCTAACAGTCCCGCTCTGATACCATGTTATCAGTGCAGTGATGGAAGAGAAGAGAAGAGAGAGAGCAGAAGAGAGGAGAAAAGATTGAGAGTCAAAAACATGCTGGCAGCGCCAACTATTTTGTTATATATACTAGGGCAACAGCAACTAAAAAATAAAAAGGGTAAAAGTACAATAGTACCCCTGTGTTACTATACTTAGGAAAATACAAGCTTTCAACAGTCTGTATAGACTGGCACATATTATGCTTGCCTTATGGGGTGATGAATCTCAAGTCACTTGTGTAGAGTCACTAAAGCAGATAGATATGCAGGTGCCTGTTAAGAACAGGTTCGCTGAACATGACCATAATAGAACAGTTTACGTGGAATCATTAGTCAATAACTCATCTTAGCCATACAAATAATCCACATACCTAAGGTATCATGGATGTCCTGTGTATGGGGCATTATAGTTTGATGGTGCAAATATCGATCCCCTACAAGGGATTTAAGCATGCACATGTTGGCTATAGTGTCTTATGCATGGAGGTATGTGAATTCACAACATGGAATCTATCATTCTCCATGAGAAAGAATGTCCTATGCGACTGAAGTTGATGAGACTCAAGAAGTACTTGGCTAAGGCAATATGGTAAATGGAAAGAGTTCCAAGTGTTATCATATGAATCATCATCAATTCAATGGGGCATATGACTAAGCTAGTAGGTTTGACTCATTCACCATGGCCCTTTTCTCTCTCAGGACATTGTATGATAGAAGGATTCGACCATATGGCAAGTTGGCAACTAGAGATGGAAAGGTTCAAATTGCTAAATTCAAGCTGTTAAGATAGCCGTGACATATTGCTAGGTGCCACTCATGGTTTGTAGAACCACTATGAATAATGGTTGATTATTCACATTCAAGGGAGAATTAAAAGAATTTTAATTCAATCCAGCTAGGAGTTTTATCTAGGATGCTGAAGGAGTTCGACATCATTTGCCAGTGCCTAATAGCATTGAACCTAAGAGGTCACACACATTTTAGGGGCAAAACACAGACAAATTATGGAGAGGGTGTGCAATTAGGAGGATTTATTGGATAAGTCCTTTCCAAATTAGAAAAGGAGTGAAAACTATATAAGATATAGAAGGGGGCACCCCAAGGACTACAGAATTCACTCTTTCTCTTAAACCCTACTTCATAACAGGTTCCTAACACAACCTTGAGCTGCCCTCTCCTCTCTCTCTCTCTCTCTCTCACACACACACACACACCCACCTAGATTGTGATCTACTAGAAGGGATTGGAATCTCTGTCTGTTGTTTGCTTCACGTGGATCAATCTTGGAGGCCAAACGGTTGTGAGGCTGCAGCTAGAATCAGTTTCCCTAAAAGTTCTGCTTCAGTAAATAGGGTTTATCAATTTCGTTTGTAAATAGGGTTACGTGAATCACCATGGGAGAGATCTTGGTTTATCAAGATTAATTAATTTTTAATTTCCGCTGCATAAAAAATAACAAAGGATCCAGTAGAATCTTTCAGATAAGATATGCCCCATATTAAGTGTATCGTATCAATGATACACTTAATGATTACATGCTTCTAGAGGTGACTCATTCCCTGTCAAAGTTGTGTGGGATCCTCCCATCCCCTCTCCAATTAATCTTGGTTTATCAAGATTAATTAATTTTTAATTTCCAACTCTATTGATGATTACATGCTTCTAGAGATGACTCATTCCCCGTCAAAGTTGTGTGGGATCCTCCCATCCCCTCTCCAATATTCTTCATGTTATGGACTACAGGAGGGGGAAATGTCTCACTTGAGAAAATTTGGTTAGAAGAGGCCTATCAGTTGGGGAGAGGAGCTTGGTGTTTCATGATGTCTCTTTAGAGACAGTGGATCATCTGTTTCTTCACTGCCACAAAGCTTGGGAGATTTGGTGTAAGATTTTATCAGCAGAAATGATGGGCCATGCTCCCAAGGACACACTTAAAAATTCTCAGATGGTGGCTTCATAATGATCTGTCCAGAGTGGGCAGGAAAATATGTAAATTCTTTTTTATCAATAAAGAAAATTTTATTAATTATGTATCAGCCATCAGATTTGCAATCTTTCTTGCCCACTTAAAAGTGATATTTAATTCCCTTGATAGGCTTTCAATGATCCTGAAGGCATGTCTGAAGATCCAAGGTAGATAACAGTTGCATTTTGTTCAAGAGGTGACCAATTTCAAGTCCCCTTCTACCTCCAATTGCTGGAAACCAAATTGCTTTCTAAGCCCTTGTCCTCGCAGCAAGGTCATCAGCTCAGCGTTCAGCGAATCTCCAACTCAAATAGGTACTGAGTACAAAGCCACAACCCTGCCTAACGAGTCTCTGAATACACCCCGTATCCCTGCCAACCCCAGATTTCCCATAGAACTCCCATCAAAATTCAGTTCCACCAAATTAAATGCTTGAGGTTTCCACTCCATGATCACCGTCTTTTTGTTTAGAAGACTACCAATTATCACTTCCACCCAAGTTCTTAATATATCATTCACTGAGAAGTCRAAAGGTTCCCACTATCTTTACCCAATGTGCAACTTTTATCTTTATGGTATCTATTTTCACACTGTCTTTACCAGTAGTAGTGATCGAGAATAAATCGAGGGAAAAGAATCAAAGGATATTCAGCAGTAAGTTCTCACAAGAGGACAAAATCTCGAGGAGAATTTTGGGTTCACCTTTCCTTTGGGTTAAAGTGATAGGTGCTTCTAAAGAAGTGACTTTTGAGAACATTTGCTAGTTCATAATTTTGGGTTCATAATCTTTGTACAGCTTCTCACAGAAAAGCTTTTGCATCTTGGGGTTCTTCCCCTTTTCTAATGTTAATTATACTTTACCTTTCTCTCAAAAAAAAAGCGAAGAACATTGTTTCCAAATTTGAGACAACTGATAAAATACAAACTCACATGCATGTAAGCAACACAATAAAGCAACCCCCCACAAATTTTATGTTGACATCTTTTCATCCTTTTGCAGGGCCTAAAATACTATTCCACTTTATCCAGTTCCTCCAAAGACTTACTTCGGTAGCCTTAAGATATGCATACTGAATAATCATCAGTTATCCCAATTCATTGCCAATAATAAACAACGTAATATTGTTCAAAATAGATAAAATGCTATTAAGACTTACATCATTGCCCAAACACAATACAAATTCCGGCACATGATCCATATCAGGTGTGTACTGATCAAGTATGACAGGAAGCCTAGACAAATTCCCTTTTTGATCTATGTGAATGCTGAAATATTCATCTAGCATTTCAGCTTTTTGCTTGAGCAGTTCAGTGTTCATCTGATAAAAGGAAAATAAAACATAAAGACAATGCCAGCAGAAATTACAGAAAAAGGACAATAAAGAACTAACTAGGCTTGCAAGAAAGTTGTCAATTTTGTACACTCTTTTCCACCTCTAGAGCCTTGCTCTAACTCCAACAAGAAAAATATTACCCAGGGGCAATATCAGTAATTAGACCTGCTGACGAACCARGCTTCAGGCCTAACTTTATACTATTTCAGGCTCGGGCTCCAGGCCAGGCCCATTCAAATTTTGCAAAAGCCAAGCCCGAGCCTGGTCCATGAACAGGTCCATCAGTAATACAATTAAAGGAGACAAATTCCAAACAGATGTTCAATGCCATTAGAAAATGAACTTGCACATCATGACAAAGCAGATCAATTCAAGTAACACTCCATTGAAAATGGGAATAAGTTCAAGTAACATGGAAATCCAACCCCACAACTAGGGAGTGGGAAATAAGTTTTAATCAATAACAACAGCAGCAATGGTGATATGATGATAATGATAATGGGATAACTAATAAAAAATCTGCATTCAGTCAAACAAAGCAATCTACAGAGGGATAAAAAGTTACTTCAGCAATTTTCTCTTTTAGATCATCATTCTCGCTACATTCTGGGTCTACATCCTCCTTCAGTGCCATCATTATTAGCTCTGGTAGTGGAGCAGGCTCACTTAGTTGTATAGCATTGAAATGGGCAAATCGACGTAGAACTTGCTGATACATAAGTTCTTTGCTGCAAATCATGGACAGCAGAAAGAACTTATAGTTGAAAGAGTGTTCCTATCATTTATCAACAAACGATGATAACTGAACAGCAATAAAGAAGGAAAAAGATAGAGAGAACATGATTGGCAATCATGAGAATCTCACATGACAAGCAATAGCTAGGGTCAAATTTTCTTTTCTGATAGACAGGCTATTTGCTACTGCTTTCAAGACTCATCCTAGTTAAAGAACCAAATATCACTGGAAAAAAGATTATTCACAACCCAAGTTCATGAAAGAACAAAATATATCAATTATTATTGATTCCTATGGAATGAACAGCCTTACTAAGGATGAATAAACTATAAAAGGTCAAACCTGCAAGCAACATTTTACTTATTTATCAACATGACTCTCATATACTAAAATTGGCAGTTTAAGTATGTCAGAGGACAGCAAAACTTGATTGTGAAGATGCATATGTTTGAATCTGAGAGTGGCTACTTTGTGCAAAAAAATGTGATATACTTTAGAACCGTACCCAGTCTACCCCTCCCAAGACCAAAGATAGCTGGGACCAATATTGGGTAATGACCTTTTTTATATGGTTGATGACATAATCAAATAAATTTTCAGAATTTATTGTAGTTCATAAAATGGAGAAATACAATATTATTACCTCAAATTCACCACATTAACAAGATATAAGTGGGTATTGTATTGAAGTAATGCAAAAAGATCATCTGCCATTCCAATAAATGTACAATGCTTCACAATGTCCAGCAGACCTATAATAAGCAGATAGAACAAATGACATAAAGAACAGTTTGATCCTAGCATAGTAGAAACGAAGAAGCAGTTTGATTAAACATGATAAACAACACAAGAAAAACAAAATACAGGAAGAAATGGAAATAATAAAAAACACAAGAAGAACTATATGGCACAACATACCAGAGTGACAATTAGAATCAATTTCACTCAGAAGCTCCTGAATGCTAGTAAGATCTGCACTTTCCTTTGGATTCCTTCTTCGTCTCACAGCACATCTGTAAACAAAGATTAAAGAGTGTTGAGAGGTTTAGGGGTGATCGAGTCAATCAAGCATTCGTTAGACAGTGTATGCCCTTAGCTCCAATCAACATGATGTACATTATGACATTTATTTTAAATGAATAAAGTACATATTTGATTCATGTTATTGTGGTGTGTTTCTGAGTAATACCCTTAAACTGGACACATATGAGACTTGTGTTAGTTTAAAATCTTCATAGTCGTTGGATAGATCTGGGGAGATTTATCCTGCCAGGGCTGACACTGATGTGCCGCCAAGTTGGTTGGGGTTGCTTGTCTAAGCTGCCAGGGTGAGACCTGAGGTACAGTGTGGGTTTTCTTGAAACCCTGAACCGGACCAAGTTCTAGTGTTGCCCTAGACCTTGGAGACAGATGGGCAGAACTGTAATGTTACACCTTACCCCAAGACTTGATTATGGTACTATACTATGTGTTGGATTGGGTTGTCTTTGATGTGCCAATCAGTGAGATCCTTAGAGGGGGTCAAAACCTAGGTATGTTGGAACAGTCCGAGAATTCATCTGTGTTGTTGTTTGCAAAAGATTTTAATTCTCGGGATCCATGTGAGTAGAGAGTGCAACACTGTACCTTGTAGCCGAGGGAGAGGTCCTCTCTTGTCGGGCAGTGTTTGATCATTAAGGGATGAGAGGTTAAGTATAAAACCATTGAGGGTTATACCTGATGGGCTAATTTTGCATTTGCCCAAAGTCCTTGGGCCTTCATAAGATGGTTGGACCCAAGGACAATTTAGTGTAAATGTTGGGCCCGTTAAGAAACCATGGTGATGGACTCAGGGTTTCTCTGTATTCAATAGTAAATTCGGCCAAGCCTTGTAACAGAGGCTAGGCTGAACCCATGTGGTTGATGTGTAGATCAATAATAGGGTCCCACGCCATACAAAGAGAGCCAAGCTAGCCAGCATTAAAAGGAAGTGAGCATGAAAGCTTTAATGAGCCTAAAGCCCATTTCGAACTGGTTGATTGGATTAATTAAATAGGGGTGAATCTAGGTATGGATCAGCAGATAAGGATAAGAGGATAACTCTTATCCACTTAAAGAGTCCAGATCCAAATAGAGATTTGGATCTGGGAACTCCTAATTTGATTAGGAAAAGCTAATCTTGGTCTACAAATAAGATAAGGGATTATCCTTATCACTTAAAGAGTTCAGATCCAAATAAAGATTTGGATCAGGAAACTCCTAATCATATTAGGTGATCATCTCTTTAAGGCTATAAATAGAGAACAGGGCGGATCTAAAAAATACACATAACAACACAGAAGACAACTCAGTTTGACTGTTTCTGCCTTCAGTTCTTTTTCTCCCTGCTCTTGCTGCCCTACCCTGTTCGATCTCCATTTCTTGGATCTGATCAAGATTTGATCTTGATATCGTTTCTTGTTAGAAGAAACAATTCTGAAGTTGTGCTCACTACCCCATTCGATTCTTGCTGAAGAATCAACGGTTCTTGGTGAAGAACTACCTGCTGATCCTACCTCGTCCTAAGTTGTGTCATCTTTAGTGGAGGGAGGATTTGGTACACTCTTTGGGCGTAAACACCTGTGTTGGGAGGAGCAATTTTGTGTGGATTCCGTATCAGGTATACCTTTCCCTAATCTTGGTTTCAGATTCGGTTTGGTCTAGTTTGGTTACAAGAACGAACCTTGAAAATGCAATTTTCTAAATTGGGAATACGATTCCCAGATGGGAGTAAAGAAATTTTTGAAATTTCGCCCAACCTTCCTACAGGGTTCGGCCATTCATATGATGGATCTCCCATCCCCTCAGTGGTATCAGAGCTAGGTTCAAGTCTTGAACCATATTAGATCAGATCTGGATCTGCACAAATGGGCAGAAGGCATTCTACCAGATTTGCGCAGTTAGCATTTTTTCTGGGAATTGGTTCCCAGATTATGGACGAAGGATCTGGAAAATAAATCTTAATTATTCTATTATATTTATAGAATTGTCYTGTGAATGTTTCTTGAATTCTTGGGCTGCACGTGTGATGGAGATCGAATCTTTTTGGTGCCAAGATTAGCGCACCCTGCTATTTCTTTTCTATTCGATTTGGTCTATAAATAATTTTTTTTTAGACATTGTATAGGAATTCAATGTGATGTAATAATAGAAAAATTAGGTTTTTCTATTTTATTTCATCTGGAGAGTGCTGAAGTGTGCAGCAGACGAGAAAATTTCGTAGAAAGAAGTTTAGAGATCTGTGATTTTGCAAATATCGATTCTACAATCTACGATTAATTTTTCTTTGCAAGTTTGTAGGATGTCCAAGAAAATCACAATGTTGTCCTCTGATTTTCTTGATATTTTGATTATTTAGATTTAATTAATTATTTAGATCATTATTCTTGAATTATATCTTGAACTGGACACCAAAACTTGGGCTGATTTATACCAGATCTGGTCCAAACTGGTTGGACCGAATACTTGGTTCGATGGGGTTGGTTTTTCTTACCCAAATTCGATTTTGGCCAGAGGGTTGATGGCCCACTTCAAGTTCTAATTCGACCCACCTCTATAAAACCCAGTTTTAATATGTTAAAACTGCATCAGCCCTGATTCAGTTATATGGGCCGAATTGCTCTTTGCAATTCAGCCCATATACCTAGATAATGTTATTCGTTGGGCTGATACTGATTTAACCTAATTAAATTAGAGTTTTGCAGATATTCTAATTGATTGGATCGATTTGTTTCATGCATGTGATGTATGGATGTGTGATTTGCTACGTACATGGGCCATAAGCACTTGGTCCATGTTAATTCGATAGTGGCTCTTTCGCACTCCATGGCTGAATGCACATCATTGCCATGGTGTCCATATGATCATTGGATGATCTCCATGCTTGATGGGCCCCACATCAGCTTCCTCCCCAAAAGGAACCGTGTGAAACCCTAGCCGTTTAGGGCCCATTTAATTCTGACTTTGAGAAAGTCAGTGGGAGCCACTTTGGTATGGCCTAAATAAAACTAGGGCATAACTATTTGTTCCCACCAGTGAAATATAAGTGCATCTGCTGGGAGATTCATATGATGAATTCTCTAAAGGCCTTCCATCATTAGCATGAAAATGGGTCCCTCAGTAATGAGGAGATGCATCATAAAATTTGGCGATCCATTTGCTGTTGGATCTGTTGAATTGTTTCATAAGATGATAGGGGCATCAAAGACCGATGTGGGAGGGGCCTATCCTAAAATGGAAGAATCTCTGACGGTACCTTGGCGTTCACGAATATGATGAGTAAGCACTTACTGGACAAAAAGGTTTAACCTAAAATAGCAATGAACCTTGTCTGACAGAGGCCAAAGGGAAAACTCATAAGATGAGTGGATATGATCATTCACAGAAGGTGGTAGGGTTATGCAGCTGAAACAGTTGACTCCATGCATTATATGTGGTTTCCCACATTTCCAGAGACATATTTCGCAGTCTCCATTAATGAGATAGGAGGGAAATCTCAGAGATGAACAAATGAAAATGAAACATAGACTAAAAGTCATTTCTATGTAAATAACATGAATCAAATCAGGTTGTGGACTAATATTTGCTTTGCCTTTTATCAGAAATGGAAAACGAACAATTCGCCAAACTATTGGACGATAATAAGCTTAAGGGCCCAAGTTATGATGACTGGTTTCGTAACCTTATGCTGGTTCTGACGTCCGAGATATTAGACAAAGTTGCTAAGAAACCTACTCCGGATTGTCCGGGTGATATGACTTTTGAGGCCCACAGGAGGGAATATCAAGATTGGAGGAGAAAAACTCTATTGCCCGGTGCAACATCATAGCCTCCTTAGACAATCAAATACAGCGACAGTTCGATCAAATCGAAGTGTCCAAGGATATCTTGGATAGTCTAAGAACCATGTACGAAGAGTAGAATCGTTCTACTCATCAAAAGGTATTAAAGGTATTAGGGCCCAAATGGCCCAACCCATAGTCTACATGATCCATCTAGAGTGCAGTGTTTTAAAAGCGCAAGGCGCAGGGGTCAATTTGCACGTGAGGTGCAAGGCACAAGGCGAGGCACACGCCTTTTTAAGCAAGGTGCAAATATTAAAAAAAAGGGCTAAAAATTAAAAAAATGCCAAAAAAATCAGAAGTAAAAAAAATAAAAAATAATTATTAAAATAATATTAATAAAAATATAAACTTTAATTTTAAAATAAATATTTTAAAAAACCTATTATCTAATATTAAAATACATAAATATAACATGTAAAGCATATTCAAATGAGAACTTAAAAATAAAATCAAATATATAAAACATTTTCAAGCACATAAGACCCACAATCTCTTTTTTTCTCAATTGCATTACTTCAAGTAGCTAATGTGATGTAAAACATATTACATTCCTAATTCTATGAGCCGCTTTTGTACCACGCCCCTCGAGGCAAGCCCAAATAAGTCCACGTTAGGTCTTAAATTCTTAGTTCTCACACAAAAAAAATAATGATTTTATAGTTTTAATTGCTTTTTAAGAAGACATCTTATTAGGATGAATGAATGAACAACATTACCAAATAGGGGGTTCTCGAAACTTCAGTGAGCGAGCGAAGTTTCAAAAAGCGCATGACTGGGCTGAGGCGCAAGGCACACCAGGCATGTGCCTTTTGAAAGGGCTGCGCCTAGGACCTAGGTGAGGCACCTACCCTGAAATGCGCCTCACTTGTGCACCTAGGCACGCTTTTTAAATCACTACTAGAGCGGTAGTGGATATTTGGCTTGATCCAATCAAAAGGCCGACAAAGGATGATAAAGGATGAGAAATTGGTGGCCTACCATAGTCACAAGCAATTCATGACATAAGATATTTCTACAATAAGAGGTTACATCAGCCTAATTAGTTACAAAGATGTTAGAGTATCTTCGATCAGTTACTCTTCATCATAGCTCTGACATTTACCTCTCAATTACCTCTTTTCTTCTTTTCTTTTGGTTGAAGGGCAGGCTCCCTCAAAGTAGCCCCTGAGTTGGTAGGAACCCAATAGAATACAACTCCAAAATATTTTGGACTTAACATGGAAGCCCTATATCCTCTCCTACTTCGAGTAGAAATTGCACTTCAGCTGATTTCAAATCAGGTTATTTTGTCAACTTGTTTGGAAACCCTCTGGGTCCCATGCTGTCCAAATGGCATTGATCTCAGCCCCCTTGATTCTAGGGTTAAAGCTCGATCTTTAGGTTATATATTTGAAGCTAGGGTTTGAGGTCTAAAAGAGAAAACATCTAGAAATCATCCTATTGATCTAACTAAGATTTCAACTAAGAGAATACAGAACATTTCTTTGAGAAGCGAAAAACACACTAGAGAAAAGATACTCCAAGTCTACAACACATACAAGCTTTTGAAACTGCAATTGTTTGTAGAGATTGATTCAAGAAGTTTTGATTGTGACAACTGAAGCAATTCGGTGGTGAATACCATTGGAGGATTCTGCACTTGTGGAAACTCTTTTAATAGGCATGATTCTGTTTATTTTGGGTTAATTGGGCTAAACATAGGCCCTTGATTAATAATCAATGCAGGGGCCTAGAGACAGGTTTACAAAGAGATATCTTGTTGCTTCAATTATCACTCAATGAAACTCTATTATCCTTCTTGATCTCCGGTTTTTCCCTTCACATATTTGGTGAAGCTATCTACTGGAGCATATAGAAGGTTAGGGTACCATAATGGGAAGCAAACTAGACCTAAGGTTGATGATCCACCATTTCCTTGATGCGAGTAGTAAAATTTAATGGTCATGTCATGGTTGATTTGTTCAATTCAATCTTATATTGCATGAAATTACATGTTCCTGTCTACCGCCAAGAATATTTGGGATAGGTTTAATGCTACCCATAGTAGTCAAGGCGACGCCTACGCAACAAGGTGCCCTTGGAGGCTCGCCTCACCCAGTTGCCAAGCAGTTTTGCATACTGTATAATAAAATACTTTTATATTGTTGTTGTTTTGAGATTATAATTATAAAATAGACATTATTAAAGAAAATTATTAATTTTTTGTGTTTATAAACTAATTTCTTTTTATTATTTTCTTATTTGCTAGGGTTTAATCAACACGAACATTGCTAACTGCTGTATTGAACCCTCAATGACTTCAAAATCTGAAACAATAGTTGAGGGAAAAATTTTAAATTTTGTCTAATCAACACATTTCTTATTCCACATCTTCTTCTTCTTCTTCCACCTTTTCTTTTCTTCTTTTCCTTTAACAAAAATAGGGGTTCAGCCCCTATATTTTTTTGAATTTTCTTTCCTTTCTTCTTTTTCTTCTCATAAATATGTTGATTCTCTAGACTTAAACATGAAGTTTATAATTTTCTTATGAAAATTATGGATAGTTATTAAAGAATGCTGGTTATGGAACCTAGGGAACTACCCTAGGATAGTTATTAAAGAAAGTAGGCGACAAGGCGCCCCCCTGTCACCTCGCCTTGGTGCCTTGAAAACTATGATGCTACCTATTCTCAGAGTAGTAACACCATCAAGATTTATGAAGGGGAGGCTAGCCATGGTGACACAGGGAAAGGTTTGTGAGCATGTAATTCACTTCCTTAGATGCTATGGGAGGAGATGGACCACTTGAAGGCTCTTGAATGGAGGGACCTTATAGATGATGATTAGTATTAGCGAGACATTGAGAAAAACTGAGTATTTATAGTCTTGGCTGCACTTATTCCAAAATTTGATTTTACTACACAAATTCTGAGTGACAGCGTCCTTAGTCTTCCTATAGCTTATCCATTGGTTTAGGGGGAATAATGTTAGAAGCTATGGGTCCCACCATTGTTGAAGATCATTCAGCTCCTGCTACTTTTAGATTTAAGACAGATACTAGAGGCAAGGTCATTCTTGCTAAGAAGACATAGGAGGTAATCTGTGATTATTGTAACACCAAGCACACAAAAGATTGTTGATGGAAACTCTATCCTCATTTAAAGCAAGACTGATTCAGGAACAGGAAGAAGGTTAATGCTAATGTTGCTACAGCATCAGAGACATAATCTTCTTATTCTGTTGCTGTCAATTCAGCTTGAGAACAATGGAGCTTGTACTTGTACCTCTTCGAGTCCTATTGCTCCCACTGCATTTGCTAAGAAGACATAGGAGGTAATCTGTGATTATTGCAAGACCAAGCACACCGAAGAACGTTGCTGGAAACTCTATCCTCATTTAAAGCAAGACTGATTCGAGAACAGGAAGAGGGGTAATGGTACTGCTGCTACAGAATCAGAGACATAATCCTCTAATTCTGTTGCTGCCAATTCAGCTTGAGAACAATGGAGCTTGTACTTGTACCTCTTTGATTCCTGGTGCTCCCACTGCATTTGCTAAGTCAGGTAATATTTGTTAGTTTCATGCTTTTACTCCTAGACCTTGGATAATTGATTCAGGTGCCTCTAACGATACAACTGGTAATGACTTCTCACTTTGTTTCCTACAAGTCATGCTTTGGTAGATCTCATACCCGTTGGGTAAAGTCCAACTAAGTGATGGAGTTTCTCTTAGTTCCATTCTTCATGATCTCCACCAGCATGACATCTATTAGTTCTCTCACTAGAACTTTAAATTATTGCATAACTTTCTTTTCAAACCATTTTGCTTTTTAGGGCCTGAGCATTGGAGAAAGATCATTTAAACAGGATGTAAAGTTAATGGTGTCTATCTTCTGGATCAGCCTTCTCAGCACCTAAATCAACCCTCAAAATGGAGGATAAGCCTCAAATGGAAGTTTTCTACCTATCCAGCATCAGCTTGGTACCAGAGCAGTTCATTCTACATCAAATTAACAGCAGTGAAATTTTGTCAGTACACCACATAATAACCAACCACTGAGTTAGTTCAAGGAATTCAAAGATCATTTTCATGCCCGTTTCTTATGAACTCAAACTTGTCCTCCATTGACTTGGAATTGCAGAAAATCCTATCCGACAATTTTTACTCTCAATGTTCTTTCTAAGGAAGATAGGACTGAGTTGGCAACATTGAAGGAAATTGAGACTATAAAACATGACCAAAAATTGGAAATATCAGATGGTTTAACAGAAATAGTTGCCCACATATGAAAACTTTGATTCTTGAATTCCAGTCTAATTTTTCAAGCTTCTCATGAATCATATAGCAATTTGGTCTGCTCAAAGAAATGTGTAGTGCCAAGCCTATTCAACCACTAATGTAGTCTGCTCAAAGAAATGTTAGACAGTATATGCCCTTAATTCCAATCAGATTGATGTATAGATACATTTATTGTAAATGAATAAAAGTACATTATTGTTTCATGTTAATATTGGTATGTTTCTGTGAATTTACCCCTTAAACTAGACACTTATGAGACTTGTGTTAGTTTAGAATGTTCTCAGCCGTTGGATGGACTTGGGGAATTTATCCTGCCAAGGCTAACATTGATGTGCTGCCAAAGAAGTTGGGGCAGCTTGTCTCAACTACTAGGGTGAGACCCGAAAGCACATGTAGTGTGTGGTTAAAACACTGAACCTGGATCATTTTTCAGTTATGCCCTGGACCTTGGAGATAGATGGGCAAATCTGGAAAGTTACACATAACCCGTAAACTTGATTATGGTACTACATTAGGTGTCGGATTGGGTTGTCTTTGATATACCAATCAGTGAGATCCTTTGAGGGTCAAAACCTAGGTATGTTGGGGCAGTCTGAGAATTTATCTGAGTGGGTGATCATAGAGATAAGATCGGCCCCTTATCGGACAAAGTGAATGATAGGGTTTACACTCTTTCTGATGGAAACCTAAAATGCCGACAGTGTTTGGTTTTTGCAAAATATATTTTTATGATTTGGGTGTAAACTTCCACCTTGGGATCTACACTTGTGGTATCCATATCAAGTATACATCTCCCTCTTTGTTTGGTTTCAAATCTGGTCCATTTCAGTACAAGATCGATCCTAGAAAAATGCAGCTTTTCGAATTGCAAGGAATTCAATTCCTAGAAGGTTAAGAATTTTTTTGAAATTTCGCCCAACCATCTAGAATGGTTTAGCCATCCATATGATGGATCCCAACCTTCCTTCAAGAAAAGCATGGTTTAATGAAACTATGAAGGCTTTGCTTGAGACAGTAAATTTTTGTTTTTAAAAGACAACAGAATTCTTTTAACCTTTACGATATGAAATTAACATATAATAATCAACTAAAATCAATGAATTTAGACTAGATTCAGAATGTGAGCACACCGCACAGCAGTTAAGCAAGAATTCCCTCCTTGTTGTCTAGGAGGCTTGGCAGGCAAGTAGGCATGCAATCTTCCCATAGGATCCAGAGTATCTGTTCGCACAACTTTATGCACAGGGACTTTCTGGGATTTTGACACTACAGGAAGATAGAAAAACATGAAAGAAATGTTGGTGAAATAAAAGAGGATTCCTGCCAAATAGCATACATGTGACTGTTTACATGACTATACAGGTATAAATTTCTGCAGAAAGGGAACTAGATATGGTTTCTTACCAGGATCTGAGGAATTAATTTGGTTATCCCTCCTTGCACCAAGAGGAGCAGATGTAGAGGGATGTGTTGTCTTCCTTGGACATGCAAAATGAAGAGTTAGAAAGTTTTCCAAGTCCTCTGATTTTAAAACACCACACAAAGTTCACAGGAAAATACCTGTGTGTGGAATGTCCTCACAGTATCTGAATTCCTCAACTTCAACTCAACTGCAGCCTGTATGTTCTCAATGATGCTTTCCTGATACAGAAGGCTAACCTGCAAAAAATATAACAGGATTAGGAAAGGTGAAAGAAGCCCAAAGATTTACCAAAAAGGATCCACAATATCCCCAAAATTTATGACACATTCCCAATAATTCTTCTTTTCTTGACAGTACAAAATCAATCAGGAATTAGAAATTTCCAACAAGGAGTTTTGAAAATCAATAATTTAAACTAGAACTCTTTCCAAAAAGAAAAACCAATGTCAAATCCTTTATTCTTTTTTCTTTGTGTTGTCATATGTGCTAAAAGATAAAAATATGTGATGAGTAAGCATATCAACCATAATCGTCAAGGCATCACTGATAATGTGTGTTTGGTCAGTTGCTTACTTGAATGCCATGTCTTATATAAATAAGACACCTCTTTCGGCAGCCAGGTACCCACCTTGGTAATAAAAATCACAAGAGAAGCATTTTATGGTAAAATTATTAATATGCCTACACATTATATTTGCTTAAGAGTTTTAATGATAAAATATAAGACCATAGGTCTATTTGGTTGCCAAGAAATGGATGAGTAAAAAGGAAAATATCACAAATAGATGCCATTTTACAGTGCTTGTTTTGTGCCAGGAGAGGGGAAATATTTCAAATCTCAAAATGGGGGAATAGTCTCACTAAAACAGTGCAACCCCAGTGAGAAAATGAAAAGTGAGCAGACAGTCAGATTGATGACTTGATGACCAGATTACTACTCTGGACTCAGTTAACCTATTACCAACTAGATTGCATAGAAACCAATGATTTGTTTGATAACCAGTTGACCAAACAGTTGAACAATTGACCCATTTGCTAAGTAACCGGACTTTTATATTATGTTCTGAATTTTTATTGCTTTGATGGCATGGGTTGACCCATTTGACCAAGAAGGTTGAGCCAATGACTATCCATAGGGAAAACTCGCTCAAACTCCAAGTCAGTTTTGAAAACAGTGAACATGACCTTCACAAATGCCCATTTGAAGAATCTGACATGGCATATAGCTCCTAAATTCTGCTACATCAGCTGCTAGAAAGGGTGCAACTACCATGTGTACAACTGTACATTAGGCAGAATTACCAACTGATGAGCATAAGATGGACCAAGTTATATTATCCATCGAATTTTCTCAGCTACCAAAGAATAGAAAATAAATTCTCATATATTTATTATAAGCAACTAAACACTAGATGGCAGACGAGAAAAAAAAAATTCTCACCCCAACCTTGCCTTCACCAATTTTCTACTAAACAGACCCCAAGGGTTTCAAGAAGAATGGGAATAAATAAACCAAGGTGAGAAGTACTAGAATATGGTATGTATAGGTGTGGATAGAGGTATTATTGTCCTTAAATTGTTTAAAGAGGGCTATTTTGTTTTCTTCACCATCTTACTTTAGTAAGGGCAGTTCTGTAAATTAACATATCATGCGATAATTGTAAGTACAAGCCTGAGGAGGGGAGGTGTTCAACTAAAAGTCCCCACCAAACAGGAGAGTACGTTCTATCTTTCTCTCCCACCTTTATTCTCCTATCTTTTTAATTATTCTTCTCTATATCCGAATCTCAAGATACATATCAGAGCAATAGAAGGCTGGTGAAAGCTATCAGCCATTGTGCTGACCAATAAGGAACCAACCTGAATGAGCAATTCGGGCTTCTTCCAAAAGATTTGTTAGAAATATAGTAATAAAGGGAGAATGCAACTTATCATTTTTGTGCCTTCCAAACCCATAGTTGCAAAACACTGCAAAGCCTGACGTCTGATGTGCCAAACAACAATCTAAAGTTGACTGTTTACTACAAATGAGAAATGAAACTTTGTAGGATTATGGAATGGGCTCAGTCGTGCCACCTAGTCATTCTCCTTAAAATTGCATTTGTCCCCCCACAGTGCAAGCAGGCCTCTGCAAATCGGTTTCCAAAATGAAACAACCCATAGGCCTCTAGTAGACATGTGAAGGGAAGGGAGATCCATCATATGAATGGCCGAACCTTGCAAGGAGGTTGGGTGAAATTTCAAAAAATTCTTTCTCCCTTCTAGGAATCCTATTCCCTAATTTAGAAAACTGCATTTTCAATGTTCATTCTTGAAACAAACCGGACCAAATCTGAAACCAAGATTAAGGAGAGGAATACCTGATACGGAATCCATGCAAAAAGCCCCTCCCAGCGTAGGTGTTCATGCCCAAAGAGGTTACCAAATCCACCTCCACTGAAGATGACACARCGAATGTTGAGGCAGGATCAGCAAGAACCTATGATTTTTCAGCAAGAATCGTGTAGGGTTGTGTGAGCACGACATCAGATTGTCTTCACAAATAAACAATATCAAGAACAGTTCTTGATCACTCCAAGAGGTGGAGATCGAACTGGGTAGGGTGGCAAGAGCAGAGGGAGAACAAGATTGCAGAAAAGAAATTATCTTTCTGTAGAATTTGCCCCCTTATTTATAACCTTCCTTGGATCAGCTTCCTAATCCAATTAGGAATGAGTTTCTTGATCCAAATATGATATTTGGATCTGGACTCTCAAGTTGATAAGACTTATCTTATCCAACTGCTAATCCTAATCAGATTATAAACCCAAATCCGCCCATTTAATTAAACCACTTAAGCCCATTTCGAAATGGGCCTTAGGCCCATTAAGTCACACTGCTCACTTTACCCTTTAAATGTTGGCTAGTTTGGCTCTCTTTGTATGGCGTGAGACCCTAGCATTGATCTACACATCAACCACATAGGTTCAGCCCATCCTTTGTTACAAGGCCTGGCCGAATTCATTGTAGAACACAGTGAACCCCTGAATCCATCAGTATGGGCTCTTAATGGGCCCAACATTTACACTAAATGGTCATTGGGTCCAGCCACCTTATGAAGGCCCAAAGACTATGAGCAGATGAAGATTAGCCCATCAAGTATAACCCTCAATGGTCATACACTTAACCTCTCAACCCATAATGATCAAACACTGCCGACAAGAGAGGACCTCTCCCTCGGCTACAAGGTACAATGTTGCACTCTCTACTCACATGGATCCTGTGAATTAAAACATTTTCCAAACATTTTGTGAAACCATAATATATATGTATATCTCTATATAAATATATTTTGCAAAACAAATCTCGACACTTTAAAATCACCTGCCGGCAGTTTAGGTTTCCATCAGAGAGAGTGTATTCCCCGATCATTCACTTTGTCTGACAAAGGGGCTGATCCTATCACTATGATCACCCACTCAGGTGAATTCTCGGGCAGCCCCAACATACTCGGGTTTTGACCCGATTAAGGATCTCACTAGATAGCATACCAAAGACAGCCCAATTCGACACCTAGTGCAATACCATAATCAAGTCTAGGGGTTAGGTGTAACATTCCAATTTTTCCCATCTGTCTCCAAGGTCTAGGGCAATACTAGAATTTGGTCCGGTTCTGGGTTTCAAGAAAACCCACATTACATGTACCTCCGGTCTCACCCTGGCAGCTGAGACAAGCCACCCCAACCCACTTGGCGGCACATTAGTGTTAGCCTTAGCAGGATAAATCTCCCCAGATCCATCCAACGGCTGTAAAGATTCTAAACTAACACGAGTCTCTTAAGTGTCCAGTTTAAGGGTATTACACAGAAACACACCAAAATAACATGAATCAATTATGCACTTTATTCATTTACAATAAATGTCAATAAGTACATCAATGATTGGAGCTAAGGGCATAACTATCTAACAACGTGCACTTGCTTACCAGTCCTCCGCGAACCACTAAAGGAAGATGCTCAAATTAGTAGTGTCTGCCACTGAATTGACCAACACTCTATCCATAGAGTTTTCAACCACCTTAATTGACACAGAAGTGACCTTACAAAGAGATGTGTCTCTCCTGAATAATGTGTAAGCCACCCGTTTGTAGAGATACAAAGATGACAAAATGTTCAGACCAAAAACCCATTTAAATAGAATAGAAAACAATTAAGTAATGGTTAGACGGATTTTAAATAAGAATCATTTAAAAAGGATATGGTGTGGTGCATGTATACACCCACACCCATGCCCTGCCCTGCCCGGCTTGGCACATGCATGTGTGAAAAGCACCCCCAACCCCCCACAAACATGTAACACAATGTATAATGTATCATCCTCCTATGGGTCCCTACTCATAAGGATAACAAGTTATCTTATATGCTGAAATCCACCTCTTTTCCCAAGCAATGTGGGACAAGGTACATTTACATGCTTCAAGAGGCTAGGACAAGGGATAAAGACAAAAACTTGGACACAAGAGGAGAGAAGATTCATGTATTTTGGATCTTCCCTCCAAAACACAAATCCAACAAGATTTGGCTTCCTTAACCGTAGTTCTGAACCTCCAAGGTGGTTCCTCCCCACTATCGAGCCATGATATAGCCACTTGGCGATCTCCCACATTCACAACATCCCTTCAATGCTGTTGTGCCAATGTGCTACCAATTTTAGGCCTTAGAAAACAGCCATCATTCTACTGTGAGAGACATCCACTGCTCTAACAAACTTACCAGAATGCTAGAATGTTTCCTCTTTCATCCCTTACCACTCCTTCCAGCTTCTAGAGGTAGGCGATTAATGGCCACCAGGGTTTATTATTCAATACACAAGCCATCCAATGAGATCTTCAACATTGAAACGTTGAAACTCCATACAAACCATAACCCAGTGAATAATTTTACTTTGATCAGCTCAATTAATATTTTATCCCCAAATTCCTTATCAAATAACCTTCCATTCTTTCCCCCCATATGCTCCAATATATTACAGCCCTTGTGCTATGCTATACAACAACTTCCTTCCTTTAGCGTGACCTCTCAAATAATGTTGTGTCCTGCAAGAAGAGATCCATGATGCCTTGTAGTGCATTCTGTTGTCTACAATCTAGAAAATGATGATTAGAGTTTTCTCCACTCCATAGACAAAGAACACACATGTGGGGATAAGCACCAAGTATTTATTTCCCTCTTGAGCCTGACACAAGTATTGATTATTT